GGCTGTGGTCACATGCACACTAAATAATCCACTTTCCAGTTGGAAAGGGCACTGAAAGTAGATTCAAAGTGGATTATTTAGTGTGTGTGACTGCAGCCAACGACACAGCACTGGTCCTCTGGCTTTTTCTCATAGACATTCCCATAATAATCAGAGGATCCCATACAAGTTCAGGGTGCATTGTACCAATAGGTTGTGCACATATTTAGAGGAGCTTCCTGTTCCAGGTCACTAAAAAGCCACCTCCTTTCACGAACAGTTAAGGCAGCATTAATACATAAGCAGAGCTTTTTATTTGGTGGGGGAGGCGCAGAAATCATGGCTCAACAGAGCTTTGAACAGCTACTTAGTGCAGACCCTATGTAGTATGAAATTAACCTGATACGAACAGACTTTCAGAGCCACATTTGCAGGTGACAGCCATTATATGTGTTTGTATAGGCGTCCTTCATAAGTGAACCCTCTACATGTGTACATTGTACTCAGGAATACATTACTCAGTGCCCTGAGCCCTTAATAATTCATTCCATTTAATGAAGGTACAAACTGTCGTACAGTCTTTATTTCATTCATCCTCACCATAATCCTTATGGGACTGATTCAATGGATTTAGTAAGCTGATCATGACCATGCGGCAGACTTCAAGGCAAAACAGAGATTTCAACCAGGCCTTTCCTTATGGAAACCCAACATTCTACCCATTCCACCATTTTGCCCTTCGGCATTATTTGATTTCTGTATTCCTCTTCTAAAGAAAAGTTTTTTGTTGCATTTTTGGTTGATGATTAACTACAGTTACCATTAAGGCATCAGCTCTTCTTAACTTTGACCTTAGGGCCAAACTACATGAGAAGGTGCACCTGGAAAGTGATTTGGCTGCAGAAAGCTGCCACAGAAGGTCCAATATGGATTAGGACATGGCACCAGGGAAAGGGAAGACTAACTCTTTGCCTCTGCACCATTTCACCAATGGAAAATGTTGTGCGTGGTTCCATTCAGCTACTGTGTGTGTGTGTGTGTGCACAGTCAAGGTACTTGTCTTTTTTTCCTACCAGAGCTTAAAGCTGCCTGGGCCAGAAGGGCTAATGGAGAATGTGTCCCTGTGTATGAAAACCTATGGCAGAGTGAGGAGGCAATACAACATCTGGGAGCATAACTGCTAAAAGCTCTCTCTGCACAAAGGGTGCAGCATGACTGCAGAGTGACTCATAGGTGAAGAATGTCAACAGGCAGGCAGCCCAGTACCAGATGCACAGGCATGTGGTCTTGCAGTCGCACACAGTTTCATTGTGCCCTTTCTCCAGTCACCTTTTGTTCTACACAGGCAATTTGCAGACACAATTCAAATCCTCCCTGCTCCTCTTCTCCTCAAAGGGAAGATCCCTGGCATGGCTCTAGAGATGCAGGCCCTTTTAGAAACACATCAGGAGCCAGTACACTTAATGCTAAAATGCACATTGTACACAAGTGTGTAATGTTAGCCCAAAACCCCCCCATGAGAAACACTGCTCTAGCAGAGTGCAATTGGAAAAGGGATAAAATAGGAAGGTGTGCCCATGTTGATGCCATTTTTCTTACTTCAGTCCCTGCAGTGGCCATTTTCCTCCTCCACTGGAGGGCTTTTAACCCCCTCCCCCCAGTAATAGCTATATTCCTTAAATGTTTAAGTTGCCCTTTCAGAGTGCTTGTAAAAACAGAACTCTTCAGAAGAGGTTTTGGCTCCTTAACATGACAGTTCTGTTCTGTGGGTGCACTAAAAGACAGAAATTCCATTGAATTATATTTTAAGTGTTTTTCGGTTGGTTGTTTTAATTCTATTGTTTTTTTAATTATACTATCTTATATTGATTTTGTTGTTACCCACCTTGGGTCCCACCTATCTGAAAGAACAGCAGGCTTATAAGTATTTAGATAAAAATATAATATTTTAAATAAAACAAACTAAAGTTAATAAAACAATGGCAGCAGAAAATTAATAAATACAACTCATAAAACAGCTGCAAAATAGACCCACACAATGATGAGCAGTGAAACCATAAAAAGCATAGATAACAACATGTCACTGGCTGCACAGAATTTAACCCCCCCCAAACATTAAAAGACCCTCTGCTACAAAGACAACCTTCATACACCAAAGACTTATAAAATGCATTCTGCTTCTTGCTTTTATTCCTTGCCTCACCCCAAACCCCATTCCTCATTACCCCTTCTCCATCCCTTCTCTGCTTACTTCAGCCCCATTCAGCTTAGTCATCTACATACCAGCAGGTACCACAGGATGGCAGTGGAGGAGAAGGGGTGGACCAGGCAAGTCTTATGAACATCACTACAGTGCCTCCTTCAGTTACACAGTAACAGCTGGTTTGTGCTTCTAAAGAATGCTAGATATTACAATGTAGGTGCATCATATGATATCAGCAGTGCTAGGCCTCCTGTTTCCCTATACATGTCAATACAAAACATGCACAGAAGCTCTCATTTCAGTTACTACTTAGTGGTAGCAGGTCAGTGCATTTCACAACAGTGTATCAGCATAGTGTTAGTTCCATCCCCCAGTGTCTGATCTCTCCCACCCCAAATTAAGATCATACCTCCAAGCTTCTCACTCCAAACTGACAACATGTTGGTTATTCTGATTTCCAAGCTTACATAGAGGCTACTGTATAAAATGGTCTGTGTTGCCTTGAACGTTAGGGAGGGCGGAGGGGGAAGAGACAGAAAGGAAAAAAACCTCTCTAGCAAAAAATTGACTAACACCATCAAAAATGGCTATCACCAGAAGTGGAGAGAAACTGAAGACCCTTACAGTTAAAAAAGTGGATGACTGGGAAATCGACAAAGAGATCAATTCTCTAAATCAAGTGAAACTGTCGAACTAAGCAACGATACGACATTGAAACATTTGCTAAGAACCATTGATCTTTTGTTGATTACTGGAACCAAAGCAAGTATTCATTGCTTTCATAAACTTAATTCACCTATCTGACTGCTTTTTTAATGATTTATTCTATGGAAAGGACAACAGTCTTTGATTTAGCTAATTCTCAATATGGCCAATTCTATCTGCACTTAAATCCAAAGACTGGAGCCATGAACAGACAAGACAGATCTTTCTATAAACTTGAAAAGGCCCAAGGTTTGCAGAAAAATCTGAAACACAAATACAAACTTGTGGGGAGGGGACATTCCCTCACTTTCCTTCCTTCCTTCTCCCCCTTTCTCTGTCAAAGATCCCCCCTCCCTTTCTGGTGTCACTCCTTATCTATTAAACTTCCCCCCTTTATCCCTCACCCTCTCTCTCAGTCTCCCCCTCTTCCCCCCACTCCCTTTCCTAGCAATTCTCTTACCCCTCCTTTCTCCCCTCACCCCTTGTATATCATATCTTCCCCCTCTCTTACCCCACTCCTCAGATTATTTTCCCCTTCTCTTTCCTCCACCCGTTCTCAATCTGCTCCTTTCTTCCTTCCCCCATCTCCCTCTCTTCTTTCTCTCCCCCTCTCTAAGACAATCCCCTTATTTCTCTTTCTCTTCCCCTCCCTCAGACAATCCTCCTCCTTTCTCCCCCCCAGATAATCTCACCTCCCCTTTTCCCCTACCCGGGGAGCCACAGTGGCTGCTTTGGCTCCAGGCCACACCACCCATTGTTAAGCTTGGCAGCGGTGCCTGAGAGCCATTCCAAGCCCGGAGCAGCTCCCAGAGCCTACTGCCACCACTGCCAGGCCTGGAGAAGCTACTGGAGTCTGCTGCTGTAGCCGGGCCGGGAGTGATTCCTAGCCTCCAACACTGCAGCAGCCAAGAGTGACTCCTCCAGCTGGTCTCTTCATCAGCTGCAGCAGCCAGGCTCCTGAGCTCTGTCACAGCTGCCACCAGGCCACTGTGGCTCCTGGACTCCACAGCAAACACCAGCGGGCCTCTCCCTGGCACCCAACAGTAAATTGGGTAAGCATTTATTTTGGGGGGAATTTGTTTTTAACATTTCAGATTTTTTCTGCAACCTAGGGGGTCCCCCATGTTTACAGAAAAATCCATTTAGTGTCAGTGTGGCTCTGATCCATAGATATAGATATCCACAGATGGGGGCCAGACTTCACTATTAGATATAAAGATTTTTAAAATGCATGTGGTTTTTTGGTGGGGGGGTTAAAACCTTCCACAATAATAGAAGTAGCACCTGTAGCTTTAACACATGAATGCCCTCTCAGTGGCTGTTGTGGGGGGTTACCAGGCAACCACAACAGTCTTGTCTACCTTGAAGCCTTGGCTTCTGTCAATAAAAGGCAGGGGGAGAGAGCGGGGCCATTTCAAGGGTTGTTTTGGTATTTGAGGCAGGGACAAGCCTGGATATAACTACTGGGCAACTTCATACTACTCAAGTTACATGATTCACCCAGACCCAGCTACTTACTACTGTTCAAAGCAGCCACCCCTCAAAAGCCAGTGTGGTTAGAGTTTCAGACTAGAATCTGGGAGACCCAAGTTTTAATCACCACTCTGCCTTGGAACTAACTGGGTAAACGTGGGCAGTCACTGTCTCTCAGTCTATCCTACTTCACAGGTAAAAGGTGGGTTAAGTTGGTGGGTGAAAAGGAGAGAAGGACGCAGGGAAAGGTGAGGATATGGGAGTTGCCAAGAGGAAGGGAAGAGGAATATGGGGAGAGGAAAATTCAGGGGCAGTGAGGTGCCCCCCACAAGTCCTTGCTGGTTCCCCATCCACAAATGCATAGAGGCTGCCAGGGGGAGGGAGAGATGAAGACAGGGGGGCAGATAAAGGTAGGATGATGGGTGGGTAGAAGAGAAAGAACCAGGGAAAGGGAGAGGATATGGGAGATGCCAGGAGGGAAAAAAAAAGAGGAAATAGTGGGGAAGGAGATATAAGGAAAAATGAGATGCTCTCTGCACTTCTGTGCAAGTCTTCCATTTGCATTTATATAATTTCAATAAAATTCACATTGAATAGGAAAAAAGGAGCAGGAGATAAGAGGAAGGGAGGATAAACTTACGTGTCACAGCTTCTGTAGCTACAGAAAAGTCTCCCTCTGATTTTGCCTTGGAAGATGCTGTTCCATTCACTAAGGATTGATGGCATACTGAATGTTCTTGTGATGGGGTTTCTTCCTCCACGGTTGTGGACTGATTTTGAGAAGATGTAGGACGTTCTGGAATAGGTGGTGCTACCACTGAATTTGGCATGGTGGAAGGGCTTGTGTTTGCATCCCGACCTGAAAGAAATGAGAGGGTTCCAACATGAGCATTATTTTATCTTCAAGACAGCAGGCTTACTTGGCGCCAAAGGTTCTGGGGAAAATGCATCTTCAGGCCAGCCCCTCAAGCATAGGAAAGTAGTTAGAATGTTTTACTAGGCTCTTGTGAGACCCAGGTTTGAATCCCCATTCCACCATGAAGGTTCGCTGGGTAAACTTGGGCAGCCTACCTTACCTTACAGGGTTGCTTTTGTGAGGATATAATGGAAGAGGAGAGAGTGATTTTATAAGACCCTCTGGGCTCCCATTTGGGAGAAAAGCAGGGAATATCATTGAAACATTATAAGGGTTGCAAGTCCAGTACTGCCAACTGGCAAGTGACAGTCGGGGAGGGAGACATGTAAATTGTCATCCCTCCAACAGCACAATGTGATTTCCCATGCAAACCCAGAAGTGATGCCACCGGAAGATGATCTAAGAGTCTACTAAAACTCAGTGGTTTTGAGTTACTTCCAGGATCACATCAAAAATCACGTCATCCCCCCCATTGTCCCACTGCCACCCTAAGAAGTGGTGGCAGGGGACCAGGGCTGCAGGCTGGAGGAGACCTGGCGGCCCTAGAAATAGAGCTATTTTTAAAAAATAACTCGATACAGAATTGAAAGGGTTGGCAAAATAAGTTCCATTAACATCCCTTTTTTTACTGTCCTGATGGAATGGACCGAAGAATGGTTCAAACACGCATTAGTCATTGTGCAGGGAAAAGATGTGCATACAAGAGTATTCTAACAATATTAATGGATATGAAAGAAGAAAGCCATGGCTTCTGGAATTAATTAAGCAATGTACAGAGTACGACCTTGTGAATGCATCCACCTTCACCAGACAGTAAATAGTCTGCAGGCATGTTCACATGATTAAACTAATTTGAATTAAGCCCTTCCACCTTCCTGCAATTTGGCCTGAAAGTGAAGAGTTCTGAGTTGGCATCTTCTTCATATAAAAACCAGACATGTCAAGTATAAACAAAATAGAGTTAATCCTCAGTAATCTATTATTATTCACAAATTGGTATCATTTCTGCAATACATATAATCAAAGGCACAGAGGGAACGTTGACACAAAAAAGAGAAGCAACTCTACCTCTAAAACAGTGGTTCTCAACCTTTAATTCACTGCTGCCCTTCAACTTACACATGAATGCCCCACTCAATGTATTTATTAGAATACCATCTCTTACCCAACCATAGCTCAAGGCTGCTCATTAAAATGAAATACTGACTCATAGGTAACAGACAGTTAAAATTTTACCAAAAAAACCAACACCCACCCTGTGAAGATCTGAGGTGGCAAACTGGCTCATAAGAAGTTTTGAAAAGGGATGTTAAAGCAACACTCCATTTCTATAGGTATATTTAGGACTTAAGCATCTCAGATGTATATTCAATGAGACTCTTGTGACTGGTGGCCATCTGTCAACCATAATGTTAGGGATAATGCCTATTTGCTGGGTGCCACTTTTTAAAGCACCTGTCAGAGAAATCTAGGATCTTGCATTTTATCCTCAGGGTGAGATGAGCCATATAAAACAACTCTCCCTTGTTTGCAGTCAGAATCCATTGAAAGTAAGGAGAGAGGGCTGCCTAAAATCTCAAATGCCCTCCCAGCTTTGTAGATTATCTCCAGTGAGGAAGCATTGCTTTAAAGCTTCTACAAGCGTGACTGATAAATGGATGAAATGACAGGTGGCAATGTTTAAAGCCTGTTGTATCTACACAGTTGTCATTCTGCATTCAAATATAATGACTCAGTTTGTCCATTACAGGTGACTGGATGTGGACAGCATGGCAAAAAGATTCTAAAACCAGGAAGGCCTTCAATCATGATTTGGGTGCAAAGGGAGCCACAAATAGAGGTTTATTTGTGACACTTTAATGCAGTTTTGGCAGACACCTGATACTTGTGCATTGCAAATTACTTTTCATTTTTTTAATGTAAGGAGTTACGCTTTCATAGATTATTGACTTCAGGTTCAGTGCTTCTGTTCCCTGAAGTCCAAAGGTATGCAAGCTCTTTTAATCCACACAGGCCTTTGCTGCAGAACATGATGGGCAGTGACAAGCACAGCCTGTTGAGGGATGTTCTGGGGGAAAAGGCCCCAGATTTTCACTGGGACACTCCCTGGGAACACAATAGTGTACTGCATGGGGGGGAGGCCTCCAAGAGATCCCCTCTCTTCCCTTCTAGGACTTCAAAGACGGGTGGGGAGGAAGTGGGGGTACACCATTGGACTGTTGTGATATCACTTCTGATGAAAACCAGAAATGATGAGGTTTTTTTAAAAAAAATTCTCTTTATTGATTTTCCAAAAAAAAATTTTTTTTTAAGAAAAAGAAAAAAGAACAAAACAGAAATGGTTATTACAACAAAATGCTTCAGCACTTTTTCTTCAGTAGTATCCGTTCACATATTTCTCATAACTGGCATATCAAAGCCATACATCAATCCCTGGAATGTTTTCCTCACAATTACATAATATACTTCTTCAACAATAACCAGTTATTTTGTATTCTGTGTACATCAAGAAGAATAATCTGCCTGGGGAAATAGTGGTCAGATTCTCAAAGAGGCATGTGAAGGATTCCATCCTGAAAGCAACTACAGGAACACCCTTGAAAATCGGGGACAACATCATCAGGATACTAAAAGATATCCCATTTGAAATAAGGCAAAAGAGAAAGAAATATAAAGACTTAATCCTTTTTCTACAAACAAACAGCATTGCCTACAGATGGTTAATTCCAGAAGTCATCATTTTCAAAATACACGATAAAAAAGAAAAGATTGACTCTGTCCATAAAACATGAGAGTTCCTGGGAGTGCAGCTGGGAGAGACAGCGGAGGTCAAGAAGGAAGAAGATGACAGCAAATCCAGTGGCGACGAGGACTCTCTTTCCGATAAGGGGGCGGCTGCCCCCAAATGTGCATATAAATTGAGGATAAGAAAAGACAAGTGGAGGCCCACAAGAAACTTGTGGGATGGTTATCTCATTCGTCACACCTTTGCTTCCTCTCCTCACCCTCTACCTCTCTCACACTATTTCTCCCCTCTGCCCCCCTTTTCTTACTCTCTATTTCTCCTCCATGCATGTGACTTCCTCTCTCTTTCTGACCTGTCATCTTTCTCTTTGTTTTTCTGCCTCCCCACTTCATCACTCTTTCTCTCTTTTTCTGCCCCACCCCATCATTCTTTCTTTCTGCCCCCATCACCCTCCA